ATTCTGTATGGATAGTTTCTCGACAAGATGCCTGATTCGTTGTTGGCATTATCAGATTCTTAATTTTTTGGAGGCATACCTACGCAAAGCTCACGAATAAAGGATAATGCAGCAAAAATTTATAGCATATTTTGTAGCCTTGCGGTTCTCTGCGTTGACCCCCATTGAACATGCCGTAAGGTGTGATAACTGTGATTGAAAAGCCTTGTAAAAAAATCTTCACAATCCCGCAATCACACACAAATCTTTTACTGTGCAACTATCAGGTCTTACGTTCTTTGTTCCGTTCATCAGCATTACAGTGACATTGTTTTATGCAAAGTGCATGGAAACGAACACGTAACAGGGTTTCCTGCAACCTCTTTGTTCTTTTGTACATGGGAAAGTACAAAAGCAATGAGTTGTTGCAGAGAACTGCGGACACATTCGAACGCAGGCGTGTTCACCTCGGCTGAGTTCTCAAAGTGTATTCTTAGTAGTCGGAAATGTACGGCATTTACCAAACATAAAGGAATATCAGTTTGAAACTACTCGACCACATATAGATAGTAAAGATAGCGATATAGACAGTGAAGGTAAAGATAGGCCTCAAAAAAAATCTGTTATCTTGCTTAGTACAAGTGAACAACTGATTTGAACAATATCTATAATCATTAAAACATATTGTTGACTGTTGCTCTGGACTGTCAAGTTGAAAATTCAAAAATGTTTTTTCTATAATACCTCAAACAATCAACTTAAAACCTGTACGCTTTTGAATTTGGCTCAAGCGATAGATATTGAACGGGCTGAGAAGGTGAATGCCTAATATTAATTCCGGCAATTTTGTGGTTAATTAGAACAAACATGTTGAAAGTTGGATCTATGTGCTCAAAATGAAAATTCGCGTTTTCCTGCTTTATTCATTTAATGGCTCAAGAAAGTGGGTTAACCAAATAACTAAATCCTTTTTATTTGTATCTAACTTCCCTGTTCTCCCTCTTCCTTTCTTCATTCACTTAAAACTAGTAAGAACAATCCTTTAATTGTCAAAAGCGCTCATATGCATCCT